AAGGAGCCAGCCCGGCCAGGGAGCAATGCACACTTTCTTATTCAGCACTTCCTGCTAAAGGAAATCATTTACGTCAAGCAGAAAGAAGGCCTCTTCCACAGTCTCTGATGGGATGGGCCTGGGTGTGTCTGTGTGTGGACCGGGTGTTGGTGTAAGATTTTGCTAAGTCACCCACTCTTGCCCTAGAGAGGGTGGGCAATGATAAAGTGGTTCCTTCTGCCATTTCACTTGTAGATAACCATTATTCATGTACTAGGAAACTCGGCTAAAATGCCTGCCATGTTTGACATTCCATAAGAGGCCACTTGCTTCTCCAATGGTAGGCTTAAGTGGCCTCCTGTGTTCAACCAGGGGAAGTGAATGTGGTCCTGAACCTGAATTCCTATGCCAAGCCGGGAGCACAGGGGTTGAACTTCTGGGTCCAACTCAGGGCAGGCGCACAGGCCCTGCAGACCAGATAGGGCGTCAGCACGGCAGGCACCATAAGGAGGGGTGGGCATCTGAGCGTGAGTGTGTCCCATCCCACCTGTCCCTCTGAAGGGTAGAATCCCTGTTCTTTGATGGAGTAGACATGGACCCTGGAGCTGGCTCCTGGGCAGCCTGCATCCCTGCAGGGACCCTGGACAGTGCTATATTGGCCCCTGAGGGCACATGGCAGAGCCTGACGAGCTGGGGTATGGAGACATGCTCTTTGGTAAACTTTGTATTAATTGGTTTGTATTCTGAGAGTAGTTTTCCCCTTTGGAAACATCTGTTTTTACCTACTGTTGGCATTTTGTTGGTGGACTGCCTAAAGTTCAGCTACCTGGGCTCTCTGTGGCTCAGTTTCCTCACCGGAACTGTGGGGCTGGATGAGGTGTGGGTATGGTGCTAGGGGGCCTGTGTTGAGTGGCTGGTGTGTGAGATGGGGTCCTGTTTCCTGGGCATGGCAGGTCCCACTATGGACATCTTGCTCCTGCTTGGCACAGGCCACAGGTGTCCTGGTCTCTGAAGTGCTAGGGCAGGTGTGGTTTGAGCTCCCAGCCACTTTCTGGTGCCTGTTTCCCCAACCTGGGGAATCTAAATCACATGCCTAGATTCTAAACAGGTCCTGGGGGTAGGTGGCAGCCCAGAAAGCAGAGCCAGGCCTCTGCCTCTCCTCATATTAACCTGAGCTCACTGCCTCTTGGGGACGTGTTTGCTGGGGAAGGGCACCAGGCTTCTCCCTCTCCTCATGTGAACCAAGCTTGCTGCCTCTCAGGGGTGTGTTTTTTGCGGAAGGACGCCAGCAGTGCTGCCTACTGGGGAAGGAGCTACCCCTTCTGGGGAGGTTGAATCTCTTTCATCACGTTGCTGACCTGGGAGGCCTCACTCATCAGCACCACCTTAGTCTGCTTCTTGAGTGGTAGTCAGATGAACAGGCCAAAGTTTTCCTTTCACAGGGCCTCCCAGGTCCTTCCTGCAGAGCTGACAACTCTCAGGCACCCTTCTATGTGAGGACTTTCAGAGGAGACAGAATGCTCAGGTGCACTTTCTCCTACAGCCTCATCTGAGAGGCGTTGAGCCTCAGAGCTCAGAGGCCCCAAGTGTTAGCCACGCCCACTGCTGTCATGGGGGACCTGTAGGAACCACCCAGTGGGACATAGTGACACAGAATATCCCAAGAACTCTGGCAGAGAGTGGTTATAATTGTTGTCCAAGGGTGTGGCTCAAGGATGTAAAAGGGGCTGGCTGTAGGGCAAGAGATACCCTGGCATTGCTACAACCAGCATGTGATATGGTGGCCGGTTGGGTCTGTGGCTATCACTATGACCTCACAATTGAATACAAAGAGCTTCTCAATGAAGGGAAGGAGCCTGGGCATTGGGGGGCCCTGCCATCGTCATGAGCACAGAGAACAAAGCTGGAGGCATCACATGACCTAATTTCAAACCATTCTGTAAAACTGTTGTCACCAAACAGCATGGTGCTGGGGAAAAAAGGCACATTAACCAGTGGAACAGAATAGAGAGCCCAGGAATGAGCTCTCACACACACAGGAAGTTGATTTTCAACACAGGTATGAAGGACACGCAGTGGGGAAGGACACGCAGTGGGGAAGGACACGCAGTGGGGAAGGACACGCAGTG